TTGTGAAGGTGCTTTAAATTCATCTAATTCTTCTTGTTGTTCTTTTTCTTTAGAAACGGGAAGGGGATTGATTCAGCTCCATAAATTATGGGTCTTCTGCTTCTGTTTTTGATCCTGCTGTTGTCCCAGCCAGTCTCTGGGAAGCTTAGAATGAAGTGTCCACTGACTTTTGAGCAGGATGGGGAAAAACCATGGAGCTATTACAGACCAGGAGACCATCTCATTAGTATCATCACCACTGGAACAAAAATATTGCATAAAACAACATTGTCTTTCAACATGGCTCCTCGCTCTCACTTCCACTCGTAAGTCATTCAGTGTGATGGAGTTGCATTTCTTCTATATGCAATTCTAACACTCTCATTCTTTTCTTCCAAGTTTACTCATTCAGGGGTGGGCTTCAAAAATTTTAGCAACTGCCCCAGTTGCTGGGTGGGTGTGGTCATGGTCTAGTCAGCCTCATGCACCATGATGGGGGTGTTTTTGCCCTCCTCAGGCTCTGGAGGCTTTCTGGAAGCTGGAAATGGGCCCATTTCCAGCCTTCCTGAACTTCTGGGAGGCCCGTTTTTCTTCCTCCCTGAGCCTTCGCAAATGCCATGCACTTACCTTCTGTCAACTCATAAAACATTTTTTACACACAGTTTCTTGTTCTCAACAGAAAGAAGGGGGGAGTTTGAAAGAGCAGGCAGCAGTGTGGATTCGAAAGTACATTCCATTGATATTTTCTTCAGAGACTGATTAGATACTGAAGTTTCTGCCTCACAAAAATCTAATTGGAGAGTATGATTAATGACTCTTGGCTATGGATGTGTTTCATTAGAGAATATGAATTATGATACACCCAGAGGGGAAAAGCAGGATCAAGGGTGACAGTAAATTACGTGTCTCAGAGTTGGCTACCCTGCCAGTCATGCTGACATGTTGACTTCCAATAAATCGTTTGAAGTTTTGGGAGTCTGGCTCGAGACTCTTGATTTAATTGTGGTAACTTCCAGAATCCGGATATCTGCTTCCAAAGCGGGCTGCATGGGGACTCCTGAGAGGGGTGGGGTGGCAGGGGCCAGCCAGGAGTAGGATTTGGGGCCTTCTCCAAACTGCACAGAATCGTAGCTAAGGGCTCTCCTGAACCTCTGTAAACCTCCAGCAGCTCACCCCTTGCCTGTATTATAGGACCTGTCTAATTTCTTGAGTAATTTTGATTTCCATTGCTTCTCTTTTGTTTTATTTTGTGAGGGTGGGGGGAATCTGAAAAATGGGATGGAAAAAAACCACTGAAAATATACAGATTCTATAACTTTCCTGGTGTTTTATGGCTTGAATGCCAACTTTGGTTTAAAGTAGTTATTGAATGGGTTGCAGTTTCCTCTGCCCATGCCATTTCCATGTTTTTATAACCTTTCATTCATATACAATGAATGATCTTTATAGAGACAGAGAATGTCTTGATTTTAGAATTGCTTTTCTGGGTCACATATGAAACAGCCTCATTGTATTATGATGGTTCTGCTACTTGAATAATTGAATGGTTTTGAATCCTGGTTAGCAGTTGAAATTTAGAATTGCTGCAAATAGTGGTTTGTTCATGATTCTTACACATAGTAGAAAATAATCTCCCTCTCATCTCCAGAACATGCATTAAAATGAAATGGTGACAGGGGAGTGCCATTTGTATTTGATTTTGAATCAGTATTGGTGCAAAACTCAGAAGGCTTGTGAAGACAAAAATGATTAAATTGGAAAAGCATTTTGTAATTGTTATTAATGATGATGGTGCTAACATGAACATTTTTACTTTAGTTTATCTTTTGATAGCTTTAGAGTACTACGCTACATTTTTAATATTCAAGTGGTCAACAATAATTCCAGGCGTCTGCAAAATCTCACACTTGGCTACAACATTCATGACAACTATTTGAACACACTTCTGAGTTCAGATGCCTTGATGGACATGCTCTCTACTGGAGAAGCCAATGTACCCAACTACAGCTGTGGAAGGAAGGACAACATTTTGGCTCTTGTTGATGCAGCTGCTGATGACATCTCTATCCAGATGTCAACATTAGGAGACACCTACAAAGTCCCTCAGGTTTGTAAGTTTATGTTTATTTTTATTTATTTATTTTTGTAAATTGAATGAGGTGGTGGGTTGATATGTGATAAATCCAACCATATTTTCATATGGTTTTCACCATGTCCATTGTAGGTGTCATGGTTAGGGATTTGGATTCATGGTGTTTAGGAAGCAATGGGACATCACCTCATAATGTCATCATCATCATTGCTTTGGGCCTTTTGATTCCTACTTGGGAAGGTGAGGATTGATTCTGTAATCAATCAAAGGGTTTTCTGTACAAAAGGAAGGTGGAACAGAGATGGGAAATTTTGTACATAATCTTAACAAAAACAATATTTTCAATAGTAAACAAATCCAAGATTTGTGAATAGAATTCAAATTAACTATTTTACCTATAGCTGATAAAAAAACATATGACTTATGAACTTGTAGGGAGCACTACCATTAGTCAACTATTTTATTATTTTTTAATTACAAGCATATTAGCCAACATGTCAAATATTTTTATCCTAAAATGTTCATGATGAAATTTGTCATAAATAGCTTGAACAGCAATAAAGCCACTGTGAAAGTTTTTCTGAAGTGTTTAAAAAAAAAAGCCTAATGGTGGTGTCCTCTTTTGGCAGGTTCATTTACACATATTAATAATTCCTAATCACGAAGCATGAGATTAGTGAACCAGTTGTTACACTGGCAGCATCCCACCATTAGAGAGAGAGAGAGAGAGAGAGAGAGAGACAGACAGACAGACAGACAGACAAACAGACAGACAGACAGCAATAGAGACAGGGGGGAAGGAAAGACAGACAGAAAGAGAGAGAGAGAGAGAGACAGAGAAAGAGGGCGAGACAGACTGAGAGACCGGGAGAGACAGAGACAAACAGAGATGTATTAAAAATGGGGAAAAAAGTAATTATAGGCCCATAAGTCTAATCAATGTTGTGGCTAAAATGCATGTTAGGATCCTTTTGAATAATAATGAGAGTGGGAAGATAAACAAAGAATTTATTGTTGAAAAACAAGCAGTCTTTAGACAGTGTTTTGCCTAACAAAGAGTCATCAGTATGTAGTCCTCAACAAAACTAAGTTTAACAGATAACAAATAATCAGAGTTGGAAGGGACCTTGTAGGGACTAATTTACATGGAGGAAACCAGGCAGTGCAGTACCTCAGGATTCCATCATCTTAGGCTCAATGTCTAAGTATTAGTATTACATTAAATCTATGGAAACTGACAGTCTCCCAAAATTCTGTCTTTTAGAACAGGCAAAAATTCAATTAAAGGTTTCTTGAATTGTACAACTGACAAATTACATTAGAAGCTGTGGTCTTCCTGTCTTTTGTGCGGTTTGATGCAAAGACATCAGATATTGAAGCAGAGAAAGACACACAGTCATGCTCAATAAGGATGGTGCATTGAAATAGATATGTTTCTGCAAATGTACTTCCAAATTAGCAAGTATTTCCATACAGAAATATCTAAAGATCTTAAGATGATATTTACTCAAACAAGATTTGAGCACTTGGAACAATGGTTAAATATAAAAAAATTAACCAAGACTCTTATAATGAAAAGACTTGTATTTGCCGAGTTTCAGAGAGAGACAGAGAAAGAAAACCCCACATCTATTAGTTAAATGTCAGTTGTGTAAGGAACAGATCATTATCTTGGACTGAATATTAGACAAACAACTATTTGGATCCTTATATTAAAGCAACATGTTTCCTGTTTGGTCAAAATTATCAAAATACATTTAATATGGCTCTTTATTTGAACATAACATTTTAATTGACCTATGGACCTGTGGGTCTGATGCCGTAAGTTGTAAGGGTGGTACAGCAATATCATTGGCACTCTTTATTCTTGTTGTTTTAAACTTATGGGTTTTATACTATTGTTATCTACAGTCTTCCTATTGTTATATTGTTTTTAATTTTTCATACAGGTTAATCAACAGTAAACTATTCTAGTTTAACAACTTCTATCCTAGGGCAGTAGCTCTGTTGAATTCTACTGTACAGTGCAGTGTTGGTGCAGTATCGGGGGTTTTAAATTCAATGTGTGGAGTATGAAGGATGTGTGTTTGTGTTTATTTTCATGGTCATGATGTGCACTGAAGATGGTTTTTGCTTTCGTTGTACAAGGTGCAATGACAATAAATTAAACTAAACTAATAAGTTCATGAGAACCAAGTTGGATTTGTTTAAATATTTTGGAACTGATCTGATCCCAAATATAACACAGAATTCTTCATTGCTTTTTCAGATCAATTTTGAATTATTTGCAGATTCGCTGCATGATAAAAGTAGGTTGCCCTTTTATCACCAGCTTTATCCCAAAAGAAGCATCCTCTACCCAGGAATTGTCCAAGTGCTGCTCCATTTCAGATGGACCCTGGTTGGTCTCTTTGCTTCAGACACAGAAAATGGAGAGAATTTCATGAGGACTTTTAGTCCCTTGCTTGTCAAGAAAGGAATCTGTGTTGTTATATCACAATATTTCTCAACAGCCCAACTTACGGCACTCCACGGCAATGCCCTCTCTAAGTGGAGACAAGTCAATGTCTACATTCATTACATAGAATACAGTACTGTTTTGGAAAGAATTCTTCCTTTTCACTTAATACTTAGGCGTTTGCCAGGACCCATTGAAGGGAAAGTCTGGATCACGACACTCCTTGGTTTATTTCCACTGAGAGACCACAGCGCTCTCAAATATGTGAATGGCATCTGGACTGTTGATTTTGAGAGAAAAAAGCAGCCAATAAAGGATGCCTTTATACCTGGTTTCTTTCTGGATCCACCCTCTGGACATAAGTCATTTGTCTGTTCTTTTTCAAAGTACCTCTTTTCTGTCAAAGGCCGGAAAAGATGCACTGAGAAATCACCACTGGAGACCCAAAAGCAAAAGAACATGGCATGGGCCATGAATTTCCACCATTATTACAGTGCCATTAAGACTCTGGCCCATGCCTTGAATGCTGCGTATTTCTCCAGATCTAGGAGGATAATGAAGGAGAGTGAAGAGGGTTTGGGGCCTCCAAGGCTGCAGCCATGGCAGGTATGGGGTCCCAACAAGGTTCCTTTGGTAAAGGAATTCAAAAGAAAAAGATGGAAACTATATCAAGCTATATCAAGTGTTACAGGACTCCAACAAGTCTGCCAATCTAATCACTCAAGCAATAATGTTCACAAAAATGGGAACTATGACAGATATATTAAACACTGCTAATATTTAAATTATGTGTGTATTTTAAAAGAAATTTCTATATGGATGGGTTTGTGACTAGCATCATAAAATTTTACCTTCATAAATCTGAAGGAGTCCCTTAGATCAGCAGTCACCAAACAGTGGGCCAGGGACCACCAGTGGTCTGCAAGAAAATTTTGGTGATCCACAGAGAAATGTCACCCCCAAAGCAATTAGTCCAGGCTGAAGGGAACACCAGGCTATGCTGCCCAAATGGCTCGCGGGAACATAATGCTTGCGTCCCCTGCATTGCGAACAATATGAGGCAGTGAGGGGAGGAGGGGAGGGCGGAGGACGGGAACTTGCCCCACTCGCCCCACACACCTGGCCTGGCCATCAGGCTGCTTCTATCAGCATCTTTCCTCTGCTTTTGGCTGCACACAAGAAAAGCAGCAAAAGTCTTTTTTTCTTCCCCCCCAAACTCTTCCAGAAATGAGTTTCTGGGACCCTGCAAGGCATCCTGCTTAAAGAGGCTGCACCAGCAAAGACTCATTTCTGGTGGAGTTTGGGGGAGAGAAAGAAAGACTTCTGCTGCTTCTGCTGCTTTCCTTGCATGAAGCCAAAAGTCTCTCTGTTGAGGTAATTCCCTGTTAGGAGAATGAGCATACACAGGGAGATGTAGTGAGAGTAGTGAAAAATAACACACACACAGCACACAGCCACACTGTATAGTAAAATGTAGGTTTTTACTTCCAGTAAAACAGTTAAGCAAAGTTCAACAAAACAGTCCAAGTCATTCACAGTTAAAGCAGTCAGTTTTCAGTCCAGGGATAATCCAAATAACAAAGTCCAGTATCAAAAACAATTCAGTAACAGACTTACATCAAATCCAAGAATAACAGTCAATAGGGAAATGTAGGGACAGCAACACTCTCAGCAACAGGACAGAAACAGAACAAACCAGGTTTCTGGCTCCATCTTATGGCCGTTTGAGGAACCACACCCAATTACAATTTTAGCATTCCCTTAAAGAGACAGTATTAAAATGTCTATCCTGGTTTATATATTTTCCAACCCAATTGTTAGGTGACTTACATTCCTAACACTCTCTTTCTCACCCCCTGTGAATGGAGCTGGAGACAGAATCCTGCAATCCCAAATAAAGAATGTTTGATCGGTAGGAAAACAGGGTGAGGAATTTTCCTGCAGACTTTTGGGGGGATTTTCCAAGGGTCTCTGGTCCACAGGATTTAAACTTATGAGTTTGGTGGTCCCTGAGGTCCAAAAGGTTGGTGACCCCTGCCTTAGATCATCTAGCCCAACCTCTCCTCTCTGCAGAAATCCCAGTTAAATCTTTTCTGACTGATGGCTGCTTAGTCTTTGTATTAAGAAAATCAGTGAAGAGATGGCTGGATTTCTCTGCTTCTTGGGCTCAACACTAAAATTCCTTTTAAGATTTTTTTTCCCTCTTATTCAGAATCTTCTCTACTGTAACTAAATTCATTTACCATGCCTACTGTCTAGAAATAATATCATACAGTTCTTAGGTGTGTGTGTAACATCTTTCAGTTATTCCCCATCTAAGAGCTTCTATTAGCTGGAAAATAAATCAATTAATAAATCAGAATAGCAGAGCTACAAGAGACCTTGGAGGTCTTTTAGTCCAACCCAATGGTCAAGCAGGAGAGCTTATACCATTTCAGACAGATGGCTGTCCAATCTCTTTAAAACCTCCAGTGATGAAGCACCAACAACTTCTGAAGTTCTTACCCCAGTTAATTATCCTCACTGTTAGGAAGTTTCTCTTAAGTCTAGGTAGTTTCTCTACTTAATTAGTTTTCATGCATTGTTTCCTGTCATGCCTTCTGGTGTTTTTGGAAATAAGTTGATTTCCTCTTCGTTGCTAGTCAGTTAACTAAGGTATGTAGGAAGCACATCATAATAGCAAAGGGGGATTTCAACTACCCTGACATCAAGTGGGAGACAAACTCTGCACCAAGTGGAAGAACCAACAGGTTCCTGACAACCTGCCAGACAACTTTGTTTCCCAAAAAGTAGAGAATAAGGGGATCAACCATATTGGACTTAATTCTCACTAACAGAGGTGAAATGATAGAAGGTGTTGAAGCTACAGGAGACTTGAGGGGAGTGATCATGCAATATTGGAATTCAACATTATGCAAGCACAAGCAGTAGGACCAGTCAAACTAGAGTCTTGGACTTTAAGAGAGCTAATTTCAATAAATTTAGAGAAAGCTTGAGAAAGATTTCATGGATGAGACCCCTCAAGGGGAAAACAACTCAAGAAGCTTGGGAAATTTTGAAAAGTGAGATTATAAAAGCCCAGTCTACCACAATACTTGTTGAAGAAGAAAAATAACAGCTCTCAAATATCTGCATAAAAAACTCTCTGACAAATTGAAAGACAAAAAGGAGAAGTGTAAAAAGTAGAAAGAGGGGCACATAACTTAAGGCAGATTATCACCAATAGCCCAAGCCTTCACAGATGAAGTGAAGAATGCTAAGGTTCTCAATGAACAAAGGCTTGCAACAAAGGTAAAAAGTAACAAAAGAAGCTTCTTCCAACATGTTCAAAACAAGAAAAATATTCAAGGAAAAAATTGGTCCATTGCTGGGAGAAAGTGGCAAGAAGGTGACAATCAACAGGGAGAAAGAAGAACTACTTAACTCATTTTTTGCATCTGTCTTTACACAAAGGGAAAAAAGAGCCCAACCTATCAAAAACAGCACCACAAAAAACAGATTAGGAACACGAGTTAAAATAGGGAAGAAACTGTCCAATTTTTGAAGATAGTAGCAAAACTTGTTCTCCGTACTAAGAATTTTTGCAAGTTAGACCACTGTAAAAGAAAGATTTCATTTAGAACCGATGAAATTCTTGCTTTTGAAATTCTTTTATATTCCCATTCTAGTTCCATCCCTTTCTGAAGAAGAATGAGTTTTGCAATTTTTCTAATTACGAATTGTACTTGGACCAAAATGGAGATGTAACAGCTGATTTGAAGCTCATTAGCTGGGTGTTTCTCCGCAAGAAGAATCTCATGAAAGACCAACTCCTGACTTTTGAAAGACAGAGAATTATTGTCAACCAAGGTCATCTGTCATGGCTAAAATTGAACAACAGGGTAGGAGAAATATTGATGTCTTTTCTCTATTTTCCAAAAGGTTTTGACCAGTGGTGGGATTCAATTTTTTTTACTACTGGTTCTGTGGGAATGGCTTGGTTGAGGTGGCAGGGGAAGGATACTGTAAAATCTCTAGTCAGAGGTGGTATTCGTCGGTTCTCCAAACTACTCAAAATTTCCATTACTGGTTCTCCAGAACTGGTCAGAACCTGCTGAATACCACCTCTGATTTTGACCCATTTAACTGGGAAAAGCCTATGCCCCGTGATTTAGTGTTGAAATGGAGACACTGCATGAAATTAATCTGCCATGGATAGGGATTATAGTTTGCTTCCTCCTTGTCCTCAAATACCAAACAAGAAGGCACATTTGTTGACCAGTTCCTGAGATCAGGTTTGGACTGAATCAGATGAAATTGAATCAAGAATAGTTTTATTCCAGTGAGAAATAAGCTTTGGAATTAGGATTTACTTTGCACCGATTGGGCCGGTGTCCTATGAAAGAGCAAGGAAAGACATTGTTAAGCAACCCAGATCTGACCAGATTTATCCATGGCAATCTTTCACTCCACTGAGATAGTGAAATAGGCCCTGTGCTCCTATGAAAGAGGTCCAAGATATTTTTGTCAACATGGTGTCAAAATGATTGGACTTCTGAGAGGTAATGCCCTGACCCAGAAAACTGAAGCTGTCAGGGTTCCAACCGATGCCCTAATTAAATCATCAGTCTCTCAAGCCAAGCTTCAAAAGAAATCCAATTATTTAGTAGGAGCTTCATGCTGGCATGGACCAGGTGGAGCCAACTCTGACTTTAGTTAATTCACGCTTTGCCTCTGTTTCTACATTCTCCCCCACCCCCCAATATGTGAATGTGTGATCAGTCACATTCCCCAACGAAGCAATTTCACAGGTTGTAAAAGTCCCTCCCTCTGCCCACTGTGGGTTTCTGTGAAGATGACCTTGGTGTATCGGTTGGAATGTGCCTTGTTTTGACTGAGATACCAGCTCCTTGATGCAGCAGCGAAGTTTGCTCTCCCATCCCCCTTGCCCATGGCAACTCCAGAGCAGTTAAGGGATGCTTTGTGGGTTGACAGAAGCATTGAAACATGATTTTGACTCAAAGAAAGGCCTTTCCTAATACCAGAGGTAATGACGGACAATTTAAAAGGAAATATGACTTAGATTTGGGTTTGGCTTGTAAGAGGGTACTTCATCTAAAAACCCCTTGAATGCAATTGTTGATATTGATTCTTAGCTACCTTAAGTCAATCTGGGGGGAGGGAACAAAGGCTCTAAATTTGACTAATAACAAATATGAGTTTGTTCTTTTATGGCAGTTGTTGTTACCTAATTGTAGACCTTGTCTTGGATAACTAGCTCGGCCTTAGACATTCCCACATACATGCTGCTGCAAAACATTCCTGATTTACACTTAGTGAGGGACACATTCTCATAACCTTATGTTTACCTCATATCACTACAGTACTAGAAACCAAGCAGTTACTTTTCTTTCAAAGCATGTCAGCATGTTAAGATGGTTAATGCTATCATATTATCTTTGGAATTCATTGTGTGTCTACTTAGTCTCTTCCTCAGTCCAAATGTGTAGGAAAATGTCTTCCTGGATTTGTCAAGCAGAAGCGAGAAGGAGAGCCATTTTGCTGCTACGACTGTGTTCCTTGTCCAGAGGGGACTATCTCCACTCAGAAAGGTGGGTGAAAGCTCTTTTGGAAGTGGATTCATCCAGAACAATTTTCGCTAAAGTAACAGATAAAAGATAATCAGAGTTGAAAGGGATCTTGTAGGTCATTTAGTCTAACCCCCCACCCAAGCGGGAGACCCTACACCATTTCTGACAAATGGCAGTCCAATTTCTTCTTGAAAGTCTCAAGTGATGGCATTCCCACAACTTCCGGGGGCAAGCTGTTCCATTAGTTGATTGTTCTCACTGTCAGAAAGTTTCTCCTTATTTCCAGGTTGAATCTCTCCTTGTTCAGTTTCCATCCATTATTCTTTGTCTGGCCTTCAGGTGTTTTAGAAAATAGCTTGACCCCTTCCTCCCTGTGGCAGCCCCTCAAATATTAGAAGACCTTTATCCTGTCTCCCCTGGCCCTTCTCTTCACTAGACTAGCCAGGCCCAGTTCCTGCAACCGTTCATTCTATGTTTCAGCCTTCAGTCCCCTGATCATCCTGGTTGCTCTTCTCTGTACTTTTTCTAGAGTCTCAACATTGTTTTTATTATGTGGTGACCAAAACTGGATGCAGTACTATAGGTGTGGTCTTTCTAAGGCTTTATAGAGTGGTATTAGTACCTCACTTGATCTCGATTATATCCCTCTGTTAATGCAATTTAGGATGGCATTAGCTTTTTTTGGCTGCTGCTGCACATTGCTGGCTCATATTCAGCTGGTTGTCCACTAAGACTCTAAGATCCCTCTCACAGTTACTGCTATTGAGCCTGGTTTCACCCAGTCTATATGTGTGTCCTATATATATGTGAAAGTTAAAAGACAAAATGAACGTCAACAGATTTTTTTTTTGTATATTTTCAAATTGCACATTTTTTTTTATCAAAATGAAAAATAGTAAAGACCTTGATGGGGATTGGCAAATATGGCATCTTGGGCAAGTTTTGCTACTGCCAAAGAAAATACATCTTTCGTTTTTTAGTTTGGATCTGTCTTTCTACATTTATCTTTCTAGGAACATTTCAGTTCTTCAAAACTGGGGGAATTGTCTTAGGTCCATTTCCTGGAAGGATTATCTCAATGCTTTCTGCATGCACTTCCCCTTTTGGATCACTGGAAGGTATCACTGGTCCACAATGAGGTCGTGTGGCTAATTATTGATGCATCTCATTATACCAATTTTACTGCTAGTCTCATAGTCATTTCAGATTATTTGCAGGACTACCTTTCTCTACCAGTCAACTACATTTCAGAAGATACATGCTCTGAGCCCAGTATGGTACTAAGGAAGTACCATCTTGAAGGACCCCAAAAGTGTGCTATAAAATAAGCTGGTTATTTATAACTGATTATTTACCTGTAATAATCCGGGTTACTATGAAAATTCTGCAGATTACACAGGAAAGCAAAGAAAAGGTCCTTGGATTTTCCCCAGTTTCATAGGTCTTAGCTTTATATGGTTTAGAAAATGATGTTCTTGTATCTTCTTTCTGAAATACATATTGGAAAATGCTGCTGGTATCAGCTGTTGTCCCAATAAGATATTTCTTGAAATGTAAAGGACATAATTTTAAAGAAATGTTGCCTTTTTATTTTCTCAGATACAGAAAAATGCACCAAGTGTTCAGATGATCAATATCCAAATGAGGACCGAGTTCAATGTATCCTCAAAGTATTAACCTTCTTGTCTTATAAAGAATATTTGGGCTTCATCCTCATGTCTTTTGCCCTACTCTTGTTCCTCACTACTGGTCTTGTTTTAATCTTATTCATTAAATACCGAGAGACTCCAATTGTCAAAGCCAACAATCAGGACCTCTCTTACATTCTCCTAGTCTCTCTTCTGCTTTGCTTCTTGACTCCTGTTCTCTTCATTGGCCAACCAAGGAAAGTCACCTGCCTTCTCCGACAAATGGTTTTCAGCATCATCTTCTCAGTTGCCATTTCTTCTCTCTTGGCCAAGACAATCATGGTTGTGCTTGCTTTCCTGGCCACAAAACCGGGAAATCGAGTGAAAAGGTGGTTAAAGAAGAGCTGGGCCAACTCCATCATCCTTTCTTCTGCTGCTATCCAAATTATCATCTGCTCCATCTGGTTTGGAGCTGCTCAACCATTCCCTGACTCTGACTTCCACTCCCAGCCTGGAGTGATCATCCTGCAATGCAACGAAGGGTCCATTGTCATGTTCTACATCACCCTCAGTTATCTGGGCTTCCTGGCTGCCATCTGCTTTACAGTAGCTTTCCTAGCCAGGAATCTTCCTGGAGCCTTCAATGAAGCCAAACTGATCACCTTCAGCATGCTGGTCTTCTGCAGTGTCTGGATCTCCTTTGTGCCCACCTACCTAAGCACCAAAGGAAAATACATGGTGGCAGTTCAGGTCTTCTCCATCTTATCCTCCAATGCTGGGCTACTGGGCTGCATCTTTATCCCCAAGTGCTACATTATCCTTCTTAGGCCAGACTTGAATACCAAGAAGCAGCTTATGGCCAAAACAAATGCAGAAATGTGAAATGTAAAAATTTTCACTTTCAACATTTTCCAAGTGTCCAAACCTTGAATATGGTGCAAGATGTTCTCCATACATGAGTAGGCCAATGCTTGGAAAAATTAAATCCTAGTCAGAAAATAGTGTTCTTCCAGCTAATTGCAAGATGGCTACTTAGCTCCTTTGAGTAGTTGAATTACCATATCTATTCTATGCCCTTAGCTGAGCCCTGAAATGCTTCACCAAGATATATTTAATATGACATTTGTACAATGGGAATCTTGTTGATACATCAGAAAAATTGTATAATTTCAGGGGGCTGTAGAAATGCCATTATATTAGTTGCATGATAATTTATCTGCAATTGGGGTTCTTTGTCCTATTGGATCCAAGATCTCAGCATTATCCATATAACACTGCATTCTATCCACTGTGCCATCATGGCTCATTATTATAAATTACTATAAAGATGGTGGTTGTTATGAAGCATTTCTGGCAGAAATGTGGGCACCGGGAGTGGTTATCTGCTCATTCTTCTCAGTCATTGCATCTTTTTATTCATCCCTACGGTCTGTGAAGATTGTGCAAAGCAGGACACAAAACATTATGGACATACTTGTGGGATTTTGTAGGTGGCAAACAGAACAGCAATCTCAAAGGAGGCGTCAGTCTCATTCACTTCATGAAAAGCTCTTTCTGCCTTCTATAGCTAAAGTTATGAACATGGGCAGGGGTGGGTTTCAAATTTCTTAACCACCGGTTCTGTGGGTGTGGCCTAATTTGTGGGTGTGGCTTGGTGGTCATGTGACTGACTGGGCATGGCTTGTATGTAAATATTAGAAATATTTAGATAAATATTGAATTTTTTTATAAAAAAAGAGCAACTTTTACCCAAAATCAGGCAAAGCAGGCAGGCAGATTGACTTGCTCACAGAATCACAGATTCATTCAGAGATCTACCATTCTGCCATTGGCTACCTGAGTCTGCACTGAAAAATAGAAGCTTCAGTCCTAAGGAAAGTTCAGCTCTGCTTTTAGACTAGCTAGAAAGCAAGAAATCCAATGATTTCCTGCTTTCTAGTTAATCCAACTCTCCCAACACAGCAGAACAGCTAATGGTGGGGGGGGAGGAAAAATAGCAACTTAGCAGGCAAGTTTGATGGTGTGCATGCCAGATAAGGAGTGAATGGGCAGGGTGAGAGCAGCCAGTGGTGCGATTTGCCAGTTCACCAGCAGGTAGATTCCCACCCCTGGTGAGAATGCATTTTGCATGTGTGCAGACCATTTCCAAAAAATTTCAGCTATGCCGCCCAGACAGCTGACAAGTGCTGTGCATGGATGCACAGTGTTTCAAACTCCTTTCCTGCTTTTACAACCTCACCTGTGCCATGCAAAGCAGTTGAGGTTGAAAAAGCAGGAACTAAAGGACAGCCAAGAGCTCAGGAGGGCGGCTGGGCCAAACAGAGCAGCAGACACCAAACCAGTTTGGTGTCTGCTGCTCTTCAGAGCTACCGGTTCTATAGAACTGGGCCAAACTAGTAGCATCTCACCCCTGAACATGGGCCTCCCCAGCAGAGAGCAGGTCCAGCATGGCATTCCCAAGTTCTTCTGGCATTCAAATAATTGTCATGGAGAATCTAATCCAGGTGGACATTTGTAAGAAGCTGGAAATGTTGGTTAATCTCTTGGATGGCAAATAAGAAATAGAGATCTTTGCAGCAGTGAATAGATACTCTCCTAGTAAAAGCTCATATAAATCAATTATAATAAAGAGAACCAAAAAGGAAAAAAAACAGATACAAGCTAAAAATGCAAAAAGCAATAAAATAAACTTTAAAAAAATCAGAACACAAGATAAAGAAACAATGGTTGCTTGGGGGAAAATTTTTGGATATGGGATATACTTGGATAAATGGCAGAAATTATGGAATAGATATTATAAATTAACAATGTCAACCTCCTATAAAGAGACTTTGTATAAGATGTTTTACATGTGGCTTCTGCCCCTGGCAAGATTGGCAAAGATATATAAAGACAAATCAGCGAAATGTTGGAAGTGTCATCTGATACCTGGATCATATTACTACATGTGGTGGACATGTGCAGAAGCTAAAAGATACTGGGCTAAAATATACACATAGTTATAAAAAATGATAAAACAACACATAGATTTAAAACTGGAGGTATTTTTATTGGGGATTTTGCCTGAAAACTATAGCAAAGAAGTAACATATTTGATTATTCATGTATTAACAGCAGTTAGAATTGTATTTGCTCAAAATTGGAAAAATTAGAAACTGAGGAGGAGGTGCTTAAGAAAATAATGGAATGTGTAGAAATGAGTAGATTAACTTTAGCAATTAGAGAGCAAGATGAAAGGGAATATTATAAGATTTGGGATTTATTTTATGGATGGTTAGAAAGTAGAGTAAGAAATTAAAGAATATAGTAATAATGATATACTGTAATAGATCATTCTGAATAAGATGCAACATGAATATAATCTAGCAAGAGTTGGGATTTGCTCACAAGGACATCTGGAAACTGAAATTAAAAAATCCTAATGAAATTGTAATAATGATATAATATGATATACAATATATACAATATATGATATTGACTAGAATATAATATGTAAACTCAACAAGAAATGTATAAAAATATTGTACACAAGATATATGTACCCAGCCAACATACTGTATAACTGAAAGAAGGTTTTATTTGTTGTTTTTGTCACAAAAACTTTTCCTCCCAAAAAAATCAGAACGATATAAATAAAGCTATATGTTTAGTTCATGTTAATCTGTAAAGAACCTCATCTGTCAGCCTTTCCTGAAATTAGTCATTCAGGGTGACTTCATTTTGCAAAGGGTGTTTTCCAATCCAAGCATTTGAGGTAGGGATGTCAAACTCACTTTGTCACATGATGTAGCGTGACTTTTTTCCCCTTCACTAAAACGAGGATGGCTGTGGTCAGCATGTGATGCATCCAGCCCACGGGCTGTGAGTTTGACACCCCTGATCTAAGATAATGAAAGGATTATTAGAGCATACACAGAGCGTGCCTAACTCGACTTTTGAATCCTTGCTGAGCTGAGCTCCATTGTAACGTAATGTACCAACTGCAAAGATAAAGCCTCTAGGCTCAACTGCCAATTAGCCTAGCTAAAGTAACTTGTGAAATGCAAAATATGAATTCTGCCTGTTTGCTGTAACTTAATGTAAGATGCCAACCCCCTAACAAAGCTCTGGGCTGTATGCCAGAAAAGGTCCCTTTGTAAGGTCCCTTTGTTTGCAGAAATGCTGAGAAAAACTATGAGGTTTGCATAATATCAAATAAGGTTTTTAACATGACGATGATCTGTGCAAGCTGAGTAAACTATAAGAAATAAGAAAGTCCAAGAAAAAAGGTGTAGGGTATTTTTGCACCTGCCTGCTTTTCTCTCTCTGCCTGCTCTGTTTAAGGTGGGAGACTAAAAGGTCACTCAGTTTTGCTTTTTGATCAGAAATAAAGCTGATTATCAGTTGCCTCGTGTTCAGAGTTTTACTGGACTTATCAGATTTGGAGCCACACTCAAAAATCTTATAGTGTGAAGAGTGAAATTCATACACAGGGATCCTTGAAGTAAACTGTCAACTCAAAACTATTTCTCCGGTCTTTTAGAGTTGTCAGCAGAAAGGGAGTGGGGGGAAGTAATGTATACCTTAAATATTTTCATAGATAATTGCTAGGCGGCCGAAGCTTCTGACATGCAAGATTATTACTGGAGAACATGATCGATGACTCTTGGCTATGGATGTGTCCCATTGGAGAATATACATCCAGTGGGTGGGGGAAGACTAGGGTCAAGGTTGAGATGAATGATGTGTCTCAGAGTCAGCTACACCCAGATAATGCCAACATGTTCACTCCTAATAAATGATTTTTTTTTAAACTCTGATAGATGTGGCTAGAGACTCATGATTTGAATGGAGGTAGATTGTCAGAGCCCTGACATAAACATCTTTTCCACCAAAGCGAAGAAATGGAGCCCAGCCTTTTATTTGGGCTGACACGCCTTGAAGTGTTGCTGCAGCCAACTATCACTGATCAGAATCTTTATTCTGTGGCTGGGCAATTAACCTAACGGAATCTCTCTTCTGCTCCCCTTTCTCCTGGGCCAATTCAAGTTAACACTTTAAGAGCCAAAATAAACAACAAAGGGGACATAGGACAGCCTTGACATGTCCCCTTCTAGATATCACATGGTTTACTTAGATCACCATTAATCATAACTGGTGTCTTCTGACACTAAATTCCTTGAATAAAATTCTCAGCGAAGTTCAGATCTTCCAGAACTTTAAGTAAAAAAAAGACCAATTCAAATTCCAGGTCCCCTCAAACTAGCTTCTGAGTGGATGTGGGAAGAGAGCAAGTCTCACCATCCACCACAACTGTGGGCACTGCCTGTTCTGACCCAGCTTTCATCCAAATTAAGGAAACACAAACTTAGTGTAAAATCAAACCTATTTTAATGCAATGCTGGGAATTTCTTGCATTCCCAGCCCAAACTCATCAGACACAATTCTCTGAGATAAGCTCATGCCTTTCAGAGTTGTAAAAAGCTGCCAAGAAACTGAAGTCCAATTACTAGAATATAAACCGACAAAGGTTCCAGCAAAGACAAACCAGAGTTCATAGAGCTTTGATAATGAATGAGAATCTAATGAACTTCTTTGCTTCCTGCAAAGAGCGCATCATCGAGGGCTGACTTTTATCCCTAACGGGAGGAGCAATCATCTTCCAGCCTTACTCCCGAGTTGCCCCTGCTGCTTCAGCTACTCTCTCCTTCTATCAGCTCTGTGCACATGCACACTGGGGACAGGCTCTCCGGGATCCTTTGCTTCGCTACTATCAGACTCCGAAGGCTCCGAAGGCAGCACCCCACTCTCAGATAGTCCTGGCCCCATCCCTGCATCGGACACAGGACCCTCATCTGAGTCCTCCTCAAACTCCCTGACTGGTTCCCTTTCATCCTCACTGTCCAATACCTCTGCCGTCCACACCGGCTGCCAGTAAATCACAACACTGCCACCATCTCACCTGCAGAACTCACAGCCCATTCTTTATTTAACAAACCAAGGAACTTCAAAATATAGAGGATTTCAGTGTCTAATGTGAATCAAGAAAGACAACACAGAGAGCGTCAAGGGGAAAAAAACCTTTCAAT